CTCCCCGTGGGATAATGTGTCATTAACCTGGGAAAGCAAACTCCGACCTGGCTGTGAAACTTAGAGCTTGCTTCAAGGAGGCAGAGAAGGAGCCAGGAGTGGCCTTTGCTCTGGGATGAGCTCAGCCAGAGATACCTTTAGATGCATCCGTACCCCGAGGACGGGGGGCCAGGTCCCTCCCAACTCACTGCCTGCAACCATGCAGGCTCCACAAGAGCCCAGGATGTTGTCTCCAGGAACCAGAATGCACACACTGCAGAAATCAGTGGGTTTTCCGCTTCTTGACAGAGCCTTCCCAGGGTTTCAGCACATCTTGGCAACGGCTTTGCTTGCAGGATCCATGTGCCTGGGGCTGGGAAGGACCTGGCCTGGACGAGCATAGGGAGAGGACGCGGATGCCTCAGGTTGCTGCTAGCAAAGAAAAATGCCAAAAACTAACAGCGCAGAGATAAAGAGAGACAAAATAAGGAAATGGACATGCTTTGACTCACTTTTTCTACTTTCAAATGAAAAAGCACACAACCCTTTAAAAAAACCAAAAACTGCATTTCAGACAATATTCCACTGGATGGAAAGAGCAGCGCAAATAACCACATTCCAAATAGGACTCAAAGATGAAGCTGCCAAATTCTTAACAGTTTGTGCAACTGTGACCTTGAGGCTGCATGACTTAATCCTATGCAATATTAAATACGAAGATATGAGACTGTAAAAGATTATGCAACTCTTTTTCTATAAAACAGTAGTTATTTTTCACCATAATCTCTAATTTGATCTGTTGCAGGGATGATTTATTCCACAGGTTTGGAAGCATAGCCATTGTAAAAGGCCTTGGGAATCCCTTGGGACAGAAGCTACCTCAATTACTATTTATCATGGCCCTTGACTGCTACGTTATCAAAGCATTTCCACAAGCTCAATAATTAATCTTTATAATGCCTGTTATGAGGTGATTTAATAGGATTATCCCAATTTTTTCAGATGAGGAACCCGAGCCACGACATGAGAGTAAAGTCAAACAAATAAGCCTGGAGCAGACACAGACACTTCATCCTCAAGGTTCTGATTCTCCATCACTTCACCAATTAAAACTGACTCTAGAGAAAGCCAAAAATCTAGTTACATTGCAGGAGGATTACCACACCAACCACGGATCATAAATTCAGGATTTACCCAAACCAAACAAATCTGGCAAACTTGCTCAGATCCCAACTCTGGGGCCTGCCACATGCCTGCATTCTGCAAGGGCTGACCAGAATAGAAGTGGTTCTCTCCTTGCAAAAGATGACACTGCTTTGTGGGAAGTCATTCCAGACTCACCTTTCCTAGTTCAGGGTCACAGCCTTTACAGAAAGGATGGCAAGGTGCCTGGAAATCCAGTTGCCAGCATGAGTAGCCAGGTCGTGAAGCTGAGAGAAGTAGAATCTAAAACTTGAAGTGGGGTCACAGCCAGCAAAGTCTGGGCTGTGAGGGTTGAGTGCCCTCAGCCTTGGGAAAGAGTTCACGTCTCTGCTGTACCACTGGTCTCTCTTGAGCAGGTCCCTCAGCTCTCCCTTAGATTCAGTTCCTTAGCTGTGAAGCGGGGATAACAGCTCTTCCTCATTCTGCATAGGGTGTGCAATGCCAAATCCCCTTAAAAGGCATGGAAAAATACCAATTACAGACCCACAGCTACTCATTTTGCTAGCCTGGCTCACCTCCACCAAGCCAGCTGGTTGTGGTTAGTATCAAACCACCAGAAAAAACACCTTGCTCTTAAGTCCTACCATAAGAAGTCCAAAGATGGAACAGCCTACAAATGGCCAAACACTCTCTATCGAAACCAGTAAACAGGACTGCTACTTAACACTTGAGTTGTGTTTTGTCATTTGACATCTACGTGAAGTTTCAATGAATCTTTTCTTCATTTCATTGAGAAAAATATTTTTAAGGCCTGCATCAATGGAAGTGTTGGTAAGAGTCAACCATGGTTTATGTCTCCTTATCTAACTCCAGCTTCGGAAATCACTAGGAAACAGCCAAGATGGAATCATTTTAAAGGAGCAAGCCCTGGCCAGTCAAGTGGTTCAGGAAGAGACGTCTGGGCTCCCACAACACAAACTGCGAAACAAAAATAGATCTCGATTCACACTCATCTCTTGGTGGAATGGTGGAAAATAGGTGTTATTTATGTAGTATTTCTTTAAATGGGAGCAAAGAAAATGGACCCAAAAGACATCAAGTGGCGAGTAATAATGTAAAGAATGGTATCAAGGATGATCGGTATTAACAAATCCACAGACGTGAGCTCTAAGCAGAAGCTCATGCATTCCTTCTCTAAGTGACACAAATCAGACCTGGGAATATTCCCTATTTCCCATTCTTCCCTCAAAAGCACCAAACTGTATTGCCTCTTGGAAGACGGAAATCATGCGCATGTAGCACGCCCTCAACATGTATCTAGATCAATACAAGCACCCGTGTGCTGTGGCAAAGACCTTTCCACCCAAACACCTTTTTGAATCCCTCAGTACTCCATTCCTCATGTTTTCAATTTACATTTAGGTCACAAGGACCACATTACTTGAAAAAAAACCACTGAAAATCACAGACAATCTTACCTAGCCAATGCAGAGATCCAAAAAAGGGAGAGATTGTGCACGTGTTTAGGAGCAAAACCCTCTTCTCCCTAGCAACGTCTGTTTTTTCCCAGCCGTCTGCACGCAGTAAACAGGGCCAGGAATTTACCGCTGCAAATGTCAGGCAGCAAATCAAGCCACTGCACCTCGATGCACGAAGGCCTCCTCACAATAAAAATTTAAAGGAGAAAGAGTTCAGAGGAGAAATGCTTCTAAAAGTAGATGCATCTGTTAGCTTATTTTCCTTCACGTTTTAAATGGGAGTTAGAGTCTGCTCCCGGCTAGACGGGCTAGCTGCTTGCACTTATTTGCAACTCTGAATTCTCATTTCTTTTGCATTTGGGATCTGACATCCCGATATCGTTGAAAAAACAACTTGATGTGGCACTAAAGCGTTTGGTGGTCCTGAATCCGAGGACATTTTTACACATTTTGAGAAAAATCTGAAAAAGAGAAGCAAAATAACCAAACTCCCAAGCTGGCACAGGTTAGTGCAGCCACGCAGCAGACACAGGGATACTAGCCCTGCTACTCTCTGAAATGGCCCAAACTTTACCCAGTTCTTGCCAAAAAGGTAAAAAACAGAAAAAAATATTCTGTTTCAGGGAGCAGCAGCTACTCGGCTCTCCTGCCACATGCCAGCTGCATGGCAGGGGATAAATGTTAGGATAAATGTTAAGATTTTACACAGCTGTTTGAGCTTCCTGGTAGCTGAGACACTCGTCTTTCCACACGAGGAACCGGAGCCAAACCCTTTCTGCTCGTGCACCTCACTACCAGCCAGGCAAAGGGGGTTTTATTCATTGTTTGCTGAATAAAATTCTCTCTCACAGAGGCCAAGCCCAAGAGCGAGTCCGGGGAACAAGCAAGGTTCTTGCTATTTAAGCAAAGAATTAGGCTGCAGACGGTGCTCTCCTGCACAGCAAATGCTAAGGAGGTTACAGCTTTGCCCTGCAGACGTTTTCTGGGGAGCAGGGCTGCAGTGCCAGCATCCTTATGTACTAGCTGTGACAGGGACACACTTGTACGCAGCACTCCCTGTGTTAGACCAAGCTCTTTGGAGCAGGCTTGGTACCTTGCTCCCATCTGGAGGCTAAATCCAAATCGATCACTTGTAGTAGGGAAGCTGATGCTACTCATGGCACTAAAGATGTTTCCATGCATGCACCATAGGAACACGTGCACACAGGAACACGCTTGGAAAGCAGGAATGCAAAGGTCACTCAAGCTCTTTGGGAAGTAAAAGCCCCAGAACACATGACTTACAGTTCCAGTCACCACCAGCTCCCAAATTACAAACAGGAACATGTTCAAGATCCGTTTGCCTACTCTCAGCCTAGTGATTATTGCAGGAAAATATTTATGCTCACATTATAGACTTCTAAAATGTGATTTTTTTTTCTATTATAAGTGTACGAGCACTTCTGAAACTGAAAGGGGAATAATTTAGCAAAGCAACTGGATACAAAACTTTCACTGTGCACCAAATAAAGAGGCCACCCTTTCCGATTTTCTCCTTAGGGTTTTGATATTACAAAACTACTGAGTGTTACAAAGTCACAAGTGGCTACTTAACAGTTAATTCTAACTCACGAATTAAATCCAGCTATTTCCAACTTTAATGAATTTCCTCCAAACTGGTATATTTTTGCAGGCTTCAGAAACCGACCGCAAAGAGCACCAGCAGCACAGAAATGAGAGCTGCCCAACACTTCCTCATTCCACCACCTAAGGAACATTGCTGCAAACTCAGCTGCCCACATGATAAATGTTATTACCAGCTATTTCCATCACCAAAGCCAGGCTGTTCTCACTCACCTGACACTGAGCATCTCCAGCTCCGAAACTTGCATCAGGGACCTTCCTTGGCACCCAGGTGACCCTGACATGGGCAGAGATGTACAATCGCTATGCGTGACATAGAGTGGAATGCCAGTGACAAGGCGAAAGGGCTGATCTGCAACTCCACTGCATTTCGTCAGGGTGAGGAAATTCCTCATCTCTAAGGGTTACTTTTAAAGAGGGAGGTTGGTGAGACCTTGGGGCTGGAGGAAGGAGATGTGGGTGCTGGGGAAGCCTGAGGACAAAGCCCAACAGAGAGGTGCACAAGGTGGCTTTGCTTTTCCAAACACGCTTAAGCTGCTTGTTAAAACTCAGGCATGCCCTTCTCCCAGCATTAAAATCCACCCACTCTGCACATGAAATGCCTTGTACGGCACCAAGACAGTGCGCTTAAGTGATCAAAGTACCTCTCACAACCATGCCATTACAAAGAGAACTGTTTTACAAACACTTGGGTTTATGATCTTGGCGAGAACTGACACAATTCCCTCTTCCTCCTCCCTGAGGATGCGTAGCGAGGTGGCACACGCTGCCGCTTACCCAGGAAGCCCTCTTCATCCACGATGATGGTGTAGTCCTCTGGGGTTTCTGTGAGGCTGAAGAACTTGCACCTGGCAGAGGCAAACAGCAGGAGAGCAAGGTTAGGAGCTGGGCTGAGTGGAGGTCGCCCCATCGCTCAGGACAGAGACCTGCACAAACACTTTTTATTACTTTAGTTATTATTTTTATTAATTTATATGATTTATTTGTTACTTTATTATGAAATTATTTTTATTATTCAGTTATTAGCGACTCTATTAGTTACCATGTGCCTTATGCTGAGACATGCTGGCAAGCACGGCCTGGCCTGCAGACACGGTGACACCAGCACCTTCCACAGAGCTCTCTGGTGGCTCACCTGCAACCACCCGTCTCTCCTATTTGGCCCCCGTTTCATGCCCTGACAAGGTCTCATAAATGCCACCTCCCATTCAAAGTTTTGGTATCTGTTCCCCACGCTTCAGATCATCTCCTCCACTTGAGGAGAGCATCCTCATCCCCCTCACAGCCCCACTACAACTCTACCATCACTGCGTACACACGAACAAGGAAAGCCTACACTTCCTAGCGCTGCAGAGGGCCTGCATCCAAGATTTCTGTTGAAAAGGATCAAGTTCATCCCTCTAAAAACGATGAAGACAAAAATGAGACAGCTGCTGCCCTCCTTGTCACCTCACCACGTTAAGAAATAACAAGAAAAACGAGAAGAAATAACACGCAGCTCTAACAGCCTTCTGCCATGCAGCCGAGGGGATTTCATGTAAATAGAAAGTATCAGACGAGCTGCTGTAAGCAACCTGCCCTCCTTCCCCAGAAGCATCTGTCACGACGATCGAGTGTGACACTCTCCCTCCTAGCACAAATGCATCACCATGGAACACACAAGCGGCCTCACCACAACCGAGCCACAACTTAATTATTTCATGTCATTGGTAATAGCTACTGTGACAGCCACATTTGCTAACCCAGCTCTCTTCCGGAACGGTGCCAGGAGAAGCAGAAAACTACAGCAGCGCAAGTTTTGCATTCTCACTTCTGAGCTGCACAAGAACGGTCCCTGTGAGACCGGTGACCCAAGCAGGAGAGCCGTGGAGCCCTAGCGATACCAGTATTTCTTTGATTATTCAGTGATGAATTCCCTGGGGAAGTCACTGAACTCAAATTCTCCCCTATCAGCAGCTCTCCTAGTCACACACGTTGAGTGAAGAGAAACCAGTGGTCTTAAAGGAGGAAACATTAATATTAAAAATGCAGCTTTCTTGATCGGCAATTGCCAATCTTTATGAAGAAATTTTGTTCCACAGCTGTAAAGCACATCTGCATGCACACACTGACCCAGCAGAAAGGGCATGAACACAACAGAAGCCACGCATCTAAAAGTGATGATATTTAAGGGATATGCGCTGATGAAATCCCGTAATCAGTCTCAGAAGGCCTGCCAAAGCCTCACATCTTCATACACCAGCTCCAAGCCCAGTCCTCTCCTCACAGCCGTCCTGGAAAAGGCCAGCAGCACATGGACATCTGAATTCAAACACAAAGTCTTTCAATCAGCACAGAAGAAAACAGTATTTCTTGGGGAATACATCCACTCGGTGCAAGCCGCCGCATTTTCCAAAGGGGAAAAGACGACGCTGAATTGCAAACATTTACACAATAAAACACTGCATGGAAAAGAAATTCTTACTATCTCATACTAGCAGAACTCACTACCGAGCCCCCAGACTTGTGCCTGGCTCTGTACTTGCGCACAGATATGTACACACTTGCTGCCACCATGAGCACAGCTCCGGCGTTGTGTGTCTGCAGCCACCAGTGACAGAAGCAATCTCAAAACTGTACTGCTTTCCTGTGCTACCCTATCGGTACCTCACATTGCTCCAACTGCTCCTCTTGCCCCTTAACACTGCACTGTAAAAGCTGGATAGCAAGAGCATCTTCTGTTCTCACACTGGAGCCAATAAAGGAAAGGAATTGCCCTTTACTAGGTTTGAGATATCAGGCAAACTGTATTTCTCCAAATGCAAGTGGAAAGCATATATGCAGGAAGAAAATATTTTTAGTTCCCCCACAGCCAAAGCTCAGATAGATTCTTCTGGATTTCTGCCTTCTTCGTGTTTCAGCACATTTCCACCCCGGCACCGCTGCGGACTTCGACTGCCTGACAACATATGTCTTTTTCTGGCACCGCAGAAAATGTAGACCAATCTATTATTAGATTAGATCTTTGAAACTGTAGAGCTTATGCTGCGTATGGATGTAACGCTGAAGCCTGCACAGAGCAGGGAAGCATGTGTAGGACGTGGCACCGGCATCACTTCAGTTTGCAAACAGCATGCAAGTCTCCCCGGAGAAGGAAAGTAGGTAGAAACCTTGGAGGGCTGCACGAGAAACGCCTCCTGGAGACGTTTGGTCCCCAGGGCTGCCTCGATGAGTTGGATGTGGTGATCTTGAAGGTCTTTTCCAACCATAATGACTCTAGACAACGATGCCAATGGTTTTAGATGACAGGGGTGATAACATGGGAATTAATGCGACTCCCATCAGTCTTGGGTCACACTTGGAGCACATACTTGCCAGGTCCGGAGGGAACCCCAAGCCCACAAGGAAGCCCTTGCTCTGCATGGGAATTAAGCAGGAGCAGCAGCAAGAACCTGATCTGAGTGATTATGAAAATGTCATTTGTTGGATTTTGTTCCAGGCTGTCTTCTCATTTTACGTGAGAAAGGATTTGTTTCTTCACTCTGTACATTATCATGTTAATATATATTCTTAGCAGAGAAAGACTGGCTCATGCTAATCATGCCATTCGCAGTGATCTTAACTTCTTTGCAGTTTTTTAAATAATGACAAGAGGTGGATTCTAGTGCAACATATTGTGAAATGTATTTAGGAAAGCAGTAAAGAACACTTGTGCTGTTAATACATTTTGACATATTTGTGTAACATGTTAAGTACTTTACACCATCTAATTACAAGACTATGCAGTCAAAAGGCACTGGAAATTGCAAACAGTGAAGCAACTGCTGTTTTCCAAACAGCGCATGGGTTTGTTAGCCAAAACACTTTGCCATCTTTTTGGCAAGAGCGAGGAAGAAAGCAGAGCTCCACCAACCTTTAGGACCAGGGCACAGTCCCCTGCAAGAGGTGCCCACTGGCTTCCCACCAGCTGCTCTGGTCTGGAGCTGGTGGCATCTTCTTTCTTACCGTAACTTACTTTGGTTTAAACAAGGTGCCCACGTCCAGGCCTACCCAGGGAAACCCCAAAAGCATCACGGCGCTGCAGGGGATGGTCAAAGGCTAGCAGCAGAATTCCTGGCACGGCACTAGCTGGGCTCGAATCCAAGACGGAGACATTAGCAAACACAGTCGGGGCTGCCTAACAAGTCGCTGCGATAGCGAAGGTCGCTTCATTACAGAAGGTTAATCATTTCCAAAAACAACGCAGAACAAAACTAACAGATAAGTGTCCAAGGAAAGCAAGTATTCCTGAACAGGCATTAATTTGGGAAAGTCCGGCAGCCTGTGCTGGGCCCAAACTGTTAATACGATAGCTTCATGGTCTTGTCTAATCCATAATAATAACGGCAGCCTAAGCCACAGACGTTATGGTGGGCAGCTAAAACAAGGAGAACTTCAATCCACCTCTCTCCTTGCTTCTTCTGCAGAGCTGGGGGTGTTACTGAGAGCCTTCATTTAGGCCATGAGATGCCTGAGAGGAGAGAAACAGAAAAATGATCTGCTTCGGGGAAGAAATGGAAGTCAAAGCCAAGCACAAAAGGGACAATCTACAACACAGACAACCTGAACAAAAGAAACAGAAGATGCGGCTGTGCTTGCAAAGATACCGATCTTATTAAGGGCAGCTTACTGACAAAACCAGGACACTCAGCAACAATATCCACAAGGATTATTCTAAAATGTCAGCTGGGCATCCGCCGTCTCTGCTTTCACTAAACCCGTATCACACCCCAATTCGAGTCATCTTCAAAACTGCCCCTGTGGCCTGGACTGCATGAGCCCAAGCTAATCCAAGCACTGCTGCAAAGGGAAGACGAGCAGCAGCGTGGAACAACCAGGCAGTGATTCTGACAGTATTTCCATTTTTGGAGAGCCAGACACGGTCAGTCCAGGCTTCCCAAGCTGTTGATTTAACAAAGCTACAAGATCCAAGAGCTACTCTGCAGCAGGACCGCAGGCAAAATGCTTTTGGTTCTATAAACACGTTTGGAGTTTATTGTGTACGACTAGGAAGCTCACGTCAGAATACTTGCTCAGGTCAAAGCCCAGCGTTTGCAGCATTGCTTTCTAGAAATGCTCTTTGGGGTACTCAACTGAAATTTTCCTTCACTTGCCCAGAGAGCCTTTTTAAAAAATATTTCCTGGAAAAATCATTTGAAAATAACTTGCTACTTAGCTGGGGCTTCCCTCCCCTGCCACTTTCGACAAATTTCCAGGATTATGTTTAAGAAAACTCTACAAAAATCCGTTTCATCTTTACCGATGCACAGAAATACAGTGCTGCCTAAAGAGAGAAGCCAGGAACACACCAAGGGAAGAAGCAAAGGCTTGATACATGCTGGAACTGAAAGGAAAGCTTGATCCACCAAAGGAGGTGCAAGGGACACGCCACTTGCACGAAGCCACCCCATCCCAGCAGGATGCCAACAGGCAAGGAGCCTGTGGGGCCGAGCTGGCACATACCACAGGCAGGATAAATGCCCTTTAAGACCAGGCAAGTACTACTGTGCTCATCTGTTATTTTTCCATTGAAGGAGCTAAATATAGAGATGCTTTCCTAAACTCAACCGAGAACAATTCATAAGCAAAGGATGTGAGGTGCGGACATGCTGCAGCTAACGCATCTCCTATAGCCAAGGCTCACTCTGGGCATGAATCTATAGGACAATTTACTCACCTGATGTAATTAAAAGTTATTCTTAGCACACATTTTTCTTCCTGGGTCATAAATTATTTCAAGTGTGCTCTACTGGGTGATTTCCATCGGGAACGTCATCACTCAGCACCTATGTTAGGGGATGGGGCTGAATCCAAACCCTGGATCTGCGCT